TAGTCTTGTTGCGCCTATCTATTGGTCTCGTGCCAGCCGCTGAAAACCCTCAAGGTTTCGCGTTTAGGCTTTCGTGCTTTCTCCGCCTCTGGGTCGGCGGACTGAGCCGGAGGCTCTTAAGTATAGTTCCTCCTCTGCCAATGCCGTCCCCTCATAAAGAACCTGTGTGCTTCAAACCCATGCCAACAGCTTTGCTGCTGGGGCCCTTCAGATCCTGTTGAAAAACAAAGCGCACTTCGAACACCTTCAGCAAACAAGCCAAGTGTCCGCGCGCCTATGCGGCAAAGAAACAGATTTGATTTTCGAAAGCCGTTTAGAAGAAATGGGACTTCACACGGGTGCGAAAAGTTTCCGTCCAGAATCTATACATCCGCTAGGCCTGAAATAAAATGCACAACAAGAAACCCTCCCAGTGCCTTGGGAAAACCTACTGTAACTTGGGAACACCGAAAATGCTACATACATGAATTCGAAGCCATCGTGTACACAGTACATAGTGTTCCCTTGGCATGTGGAAACATGGTGTGAGGTCTGGCCGTCTAGCAGTCATATTCAGTCACGCTGCGAAAGCAGCAGCGACGCGGTCTTGCGCAACGTCGCGACAGCGACAGATGCAACGGAGCCCGCAGAGGCCACCAGTTCCGTGTAGCAAAGCACGCTGCCTGCAAAAACTGAAGCTAATACTAAGCCGGAGGCATTGAGGCATGGAACCACCAAGTGAAAATGCGCCTGCCAAAGATACCCCGATTGCTGGGATCAGCCACAGCAGCTGAGGCTCGTGTCCTGCTTCGACAGTTCCCAGACCCAAACCAACAGTTCGACAGAACTTGGATTGGCGATGAGCTGCTTCTAGTGTCCTTGGACTCCTGCTGCAACCGTGTGCCATTTTCTAGCACAATCTTGCAATTCTCAACACTCGTTGCTACATGAGCATGAACCCCACCTGCGTACTCAACCACTGACATCATGTCGCCGCTTAGCAGGACGCCAGCAAGACCTGCTGAAGTGCTTGCGAGTCTCTGAAAGAGCTGAACTTGAGGCTAAGACTGGTCTAGATTGAAAACATACTTATTGAAAAATCGAAGTGCTTAATGGATTGTCTTGCCACATCTCAATATCGAGGAGCTGAATTTACAACTAGCATCCAACTAGCAGCACCTGTCAGTAAGCCAATGGCGTTGGTGCGGGCCATTAGCTCGGCAGAGGTCACACCGCTTCGCATGATCTTCTGCTGCAGATTTGGGACCTGAAAAGCTTCGAGGTACTTTGGAGATTATGAAGATCTGCCTGCAAAGGAACGCGAGACAGCAAGCGAGCACACTGCGTAAGTTGCAGGCCAGGCCGTCAAAAATGCAGGATAAACCAAGTGCTACCATACCTCATGCAAATCCGTGCGTGCGTGCGTGCGTGCCGCCTGTAAACACAGCCAAAACATGCAGCACGCTGCCAAGTCGCCAAGCACCACCTGCGATGTGTTTGTAGCATTGGGTGCACGGCTGCCACCGCAAGAGAAAAGCGCAGTGCCAACCTTATAATACTCAGACATGCCAAGGGTACTCCGCACATCTCCACTTGATGCGATCTTCAACATGGACGCATATGCCATGGCACTATGCTGCCTGAATGAGGCCATGCTGTTGCATTAGAGAGGCGCACAAGAACAGAGCTGCCACATAGTCCAGAGCCTCCAGCTGAACTGGTCTGTGGGGTTGATGGCTTCGTGTTTGTACCGTAGGATGGGTAGGTGTGGGTCTTAGGCGGTGCGATACGGATTTACTGGGTGCCAAGTTTGAGTCCAGGTATTTGGTGCTCAGCGATATAGCATTGAAACTTAAGGCATTTTCCTCAGCCTGCCTCGAAGTGGCTGGAGTTACCCAGAAGCCCCGAGATAAGCATTGTCGGCAGCCTTGGCTTATCCCTCCCGCTGCCAATTGTATCAGTCGATGAGAATCTTGCAAAAAACGAAAGAAACTCGTCCAAGGAGGCGGGTCCTTGCAAAAATGGCTCCTACCCTGTGTTCAGCGCCTCTCAAGGCCTACGGATTTGACTTTCACAGCTTAAGCTGGCAGGCCAGGCAGAACTCCAGAGCAGCTCGGCGCACCCTGAAACCAAAAGCAACAAACGAGAAAGCCGAAGGAGGAGGCTAAGGCGGAGGCTAAGGCGGAGCCGTGTCGCAAGACCCCCCAGCATCAAGCAACACAAGCGGCACTATGTTCAGGCTGTGCACAACTACTCCCTTTAGCCACTCTCGGCTTCGAAAGAAACATGCCACTTGAGAGGTTGCCTGGTATTGCCTGATCTGGCAAATTCAAGGGCTTTAAATCCTGGTTGCATTGGCCAGCCAACCCTGACATATCCCGATCAAGTGAAAACACTTGCTTCAGGAAGCTGAGGTCCGCACAGCTTGCTTGCTTTGGCCACAATCTTCAAAGAAAACTCGACGGAGTGCGTAGAATACTGTGACAAGGTATTCGACAAGAACCTCATCAGTGCAGCATTGGTTGGGCGAACAAAGCTAAACACCCCGAAACTAACATTGAAACCCACGTATCACTCGTTTACAGGGAAAGTAATCTTTATAGGGTGCTTTGGGTTTCCATGTCATTTTTTCTCCCTTGTGAAAATGCTGAGAATAGCTTGGCACTTCATTTTATAGGAAAAGTATGGAGAAGTGGCTTACAGAATGGGGTGCTCAAGAGCCCATATAGGGCATGTATTAAATGGATTCTCCATATTTTCTCTAAGCGGTATGCCAGGATGGATGCCCAAACAATGGAAAAAGCCATACTCTGCATAGAATGGCACCCTTGACGTGACCTAAGCAAGTCTTCATAATCATGGATGCCCAGTACCAAGGTACCATAAGACGATACCTGTTGGATTTGTGAAGGTCTGATGCTGGGCTCCATCTATCAGACCTATCTGGCCTATGGCATGGCTTGCTTGTCGCGCCCTCAACACTGACAGAAACTACAACACAACAGACACTTCTCTGTAAAATGACCGTCACGAAGTGACGCACGGATTTGAGCACGGATCTATCCTAAAGGCATAGATTCCCCACCTTGAGTCTTCCAGAAACACCTGTGTAAAATGGGCCCGTATAGAATGATCAAACCATATCGAAGTCTTTTTACATGCAACACGGATGAAGCATTTCATGGGGGAATTCTGGAAGGGACTTCCTTCTGGTAGTACTTGTTCAAGAGTTTTGCGGTTCGGTCGAGTTGGTTCCGTCAACCAGGCATCAGCATAGTTGGCATGCCAAAGCGTCCCGTCTGAAAAAGATATGGACATGCAGAATCCCCAAAGCCCGCGTTTTTGTAACTGAAACACTTGAGAAATTTGCGCACCGGCATTCAAAGATCATTACTGGCCCAACGACCCTCTCTGCAGGCACTCCTCCCCTTTCACCCCACTGTTCTGGTTCTGGATTCCAACAATCATGAAGTGGAAACCAAACTCGAGGCCCTGTATGACCACCCTGCACTAGCACATAAGAATTTCAGGGAGATGCCCAGGTACACCATGCCAGAAACTCCCACAAACCTCAGGCAAGTCAAGAAGAACAACGTGTTCCACGTGTTCCAAGCACCAAGTTGATTGTCGCGATCGCTCCTTTGCGAGCCAGGCTGCGGCCACCAGGACTCTTTCGCACTCAAAGCTTTAGGTACTCTGACCAACGGTGCCACGGCACAGAAGCCAAATTGTGAAGCTACGCTCCACAGCGTCACACCTCAGGTGCTGCCTCCTCAAGGAACCAAAGGATCATTGAGAAGGAATCTGCGACTGTCCGAGATCGGGTTGATGCACTTCATACCAGCGGACAAAGACTCAAGGAAGGTCGGACACCTGTTAGGTACCCCAGAATGTACATTTTCCAGAAGCCTTGAGTATGGCTGATACAAGACAAACATACATACATACATACATACTTTGGGTTAGGCCCCCAAGGTTTTACATGTGTCATATGTATACATATTTCCACCATTTTGTCAAGGCTCATTGAACCCGCCTGAATGGTCAAAGGGTTCGTTTCTGCTGCATGTGCGGTCCAATGAGTGATCTGCTGCGGTCGCTGCGAAACTGTAACCTAGCGATTCAGCCACCAACTGTGGCAGCTAAGTATTCACAGTAATCATGTGTCATGATGGGCAAAGACCCAGTCAAGTGTTTGACTTGGCCTAGTCAAGTGTTTTCTTCCCAGCTCCGCCACAGGATAGTTTGGCCCCTTATGGAATCCCGAGTGCAAACAGGGGGTGTGCAACACCGCTGGAGCAGCAGAGTTGCTCCAGGAGGGGCGTGTCGTTTCAGAGCACCTCCCGGTTAGTTGTGAAGGATCTTTTGTCATGCTCCCGGATCCGCCAGATTGGCTTTGGGAGGATCCCTGCTTTCCCGCCCAGTCACCATGTAACAGGAGAGTAAGAGCAAATGCATGCAAATGCAATACCTGAAGGGCGCGCATCCAGAAACAGAAGGATTTTGAGAGCCTGTAGGTACGGTCTCGGAGCGAGCAAGACATCAAAGCACAGAGAGTAATGGAACAGGATCTGAACTTCCGTGCTCTTCCAGAGCACCTGAAGCTTCGGGCTAGATTGCGCTCTCCAAAGTGTATATGCAAGCGATGCAAACCTGGCTCAGCGGCATGTACCAGAATTGGGCAGGCTGCCAAACAAACCTCGAAGAACTGCGCAAGCGCTCAATTGAGAGCCGCTTGTTATTTCATTCAAACCGCTGACCTTCAGGCATGAGATCTGTGCCCTCGGGGCAGGTACCAGCCAATTCAGCTCCGCAAGTGTCCATGTTACCTGCAAGCTCGTTTCACAGCTTGCTGATCAGACACTCCACTTTGCGGCTGCTTACTTTGTGGCTGCTTAGGCGCTCGTCCATCATCGCTGGCAGCCTTCAGCTCGGAGCTGCGCAAGGGGTTGTGCGGATGGTTCTGCCAAAGTTCGGCATAAATGAAAACCTCCAGCTGGTGAAGTTTCCGCCTTTCATCGGTGTCAACAGGATGCAACAGGAGCTGCTGCGTGCCGCAAGTCAGCAGGTACAGTAGCAGGCCCTCCCTCAGCGGCGAAGCTCGACATCCCGGGTCCTCACGCCACAATCCTCTCATGCTGGACTACCCAGGACACCTACGGTTGAGAGGCAGTGGACGCGGGGTTGGAGGTTTAAAGTGGAGTGGAGTGTAGATCTGGAAAGGGTCTGGGAAGGCAGGTGAGGTGGGGGCTGGAAGGTGGTTTTTGAAGGTTTCGGACAGGGAGCAGTGTTTTGGTTCGAGGGGACGGGGGAGCTGAATGGGTTTGGAGGGTCTCGAACACCAAAATGAATGGCCAAAGCAGCCTCCTCCGATAGGAAGCCAATGAAAGTCGAGTCGTCAGGGCAGCTCTGGCTATGGAACTCGGAACTGACTTCGAAGATCCCTACATCCGAGCAAAGTTCCATTCCCATATATTCATGCAGAGTCTCAGAGCTCGCGCGCCAGGGCCCCACAAACCCAAGCCGCTCGGCCAGCCTGTGAGCTTCCGCAGTGTTTGGGACCTCTCCGTCTTACCTGTCGTCTGAGAATCCTGGGCGCAGGGCCCTGCAAGAAATCGCCTCAAGTACTCGGGATAGTAGCCGGTCCATCCGAAGGTTCCCTGACACCGATCTTATTCCCAGCCCCGCTGAAGGATGAGTGTCTGCGGGCTTTCAAAGCGCTCCCACGCAGCGTAAGCCGGGCTAACTCTTGTCTGTCAAGGCTGGGACTTCTGCAGTCAAAGTAGATGCGAACTTTCGATACCTGTCAAATTGTCTGCCGCTCCAGGTATAGGCAAGGTCCAGCAGGCCATCCAGGATCATTGGAGATAAAATGTGTGTGCCTTGCGCCCCTGCGCACCCAGTGTTGAAACGATCAAATGCAGGCTTTGGAGCACTCAACAGCTGTTGGCTTAGGAAACTAAGGGCTAGTGCGTTCAGTGACCCAGCCCCAGCATCCCACAGTGCTAGAGGTTGGCTCATACGCGAAGCTTTGTCCCACAAAGCTACAGCACTGCCTTCAAGCTCGCTTGCATGAGGAACAGGAGATCTTGTCACGCCCAAATGAGCAGCGACTGAGCAAGGCCCATCAGCCGAGTCTGGAGACTCCAAGCAGGCTAAGCAACCATGCAGTTCGAAAGCTATCAATCCAGACCCACGCAGCACAGGTTGCACAGGTTGAGAGCAATGATTATCCGTACATACGGTATACATCAATAACTACAAGTCAAGCGCAGCCTCTGGCCTCAGCTTGCTATGGGATACATGAAACTGCAGCTAGCCAAATAGCGTATGGAAAGCTAATTTTCTGGATGCAACCTTGGTGCTATGGGGAACGTTCGGCAACGCGACCTGACACTCCATGCCACATAGCAAAAACAGAACTTGAGATCTATCAACTCTCACCTGAACGACCATAGCATCTTGCTCTGCTTCCAGGCCACTAGCAATTCATTCAAGGCTTCGAAAGCTACATGACACAAGAAGAAGCCCATGACGAGGACCCCGAATCGCAGATCCATGGCCCAATCCGGCATCGCTTGCCAGCTAAGCCGAAGGATGCAGGCACCGGCCAGCAACCACCAAGCCACAAATACGACAGCAGGTCATGAAAGGCTGCTACAGGTCCAGAACATACTATCTTGGGAGCTGATTCGAGCCTGACATGATGTCACAGACAACGTACGTCGTCGCATGTCTAAGCGCAAGTCATGTTGCCGTGGCATGGCCAGTGGACTGCAAAACAATCAAAACTTGAAAGCAGCCAACCGATCCATCAGGCCCCACCTGTTCGCAATCCGTGTCTGGTGCCATCTCCTGGCAAGCTTCACGACGCGTGGGAACATGTGCCTAGAACCTAAAAAGTCTGAAGACACTAAAACCGCTGAAGTGTGACTTGTTGCATGGCACAGCAGTCACCACTTGCCGGAGAAAATCAACAACGTAGAAACACCGCATGTTTGCGCAATCGCACCGAGCTAGTGCAGGTGCGTTCCCTGCACTGCCGCATTCGAGGCTTGCGTACAGCCAGCTTTTACATGCAACTCCCTAGCTTCAAATCAAACGTTACCAGCATTGCCCCCTGGTCTTCCAGTCACATGATTCTGCCTTTTGACATCTTGACCTATCTGCCACAGCTGATAGACGGCAGGGCTGGGACGCAGATTCATGCGCAAAAGTGAGCACAGCCTGAAACCAACGCTGTAAGACCAAAGCTGCATAAATGTAGCTAACTCAGCAAAGGCAGCAGCTTGGCCTCACAGTTTTCCTTGCCAAGTGGCCGAATTTGAGAAAGCATCTTGAACATTCTTGAACAATCATCCATCAAAGCATTTCCGAGGTCGGGCCTTTTTAGACATGTAGGGATTTGCAGGCCTTGAGCTGGTCTGCCCACGGCTTCCACACGCCTGCGCTGAGAGCTTGAGATTGTGACAATGACGCAGGAGCTGATGACAACGGTCAGAACCCAAAAATCTGGGATGTGGTAACGACGCCTTCTGGGGTGAACACCAGTGGCGAAGGCCATATGACCTCATTAGGCACAAAAGTCCGCGCCCAAGCAGCATGCCCAGCAGCAACTGTTACAGCCTGCCAGAAGACCACGGTCAGCAGTAGAAACGCCTTTAGAACCTGCAAGAGCTGCAAACCGCTGAAGACGGAAGTTTCCTTAACGTTCCTCCAGGCGTCCATACACTCTTGAACACCGAGACACCGAAAAGATCTCGTGAATGTGCTGCAGCAACTTTTTACAAGGCAAGCAGACAAGCAAGTACTGAGACATTGACAAGCCCTGTCACTGAACTGGTATCCCCAAGGCTTCAGTTAATAAAACTCCATGCAGCACCTCAGATCTTCCGCGCATGATAGGAGTTCTAATGTGCGCATGTGCGTGTTCGAAGTCACGCAACATCGCCAGGCCTTCGCGGAAGCCATGAGATGAACCCCCAGGTTGGGAAGCCGCACAGCATCCAAGGCACAAAATTGGGTTTGTTTTGACTGCATCAAGGCCAACTTGCTTCCATGACAAAGCCATCCCGCAATCGAGTCCGCAATCGAGTGCACTGCTTCATTGCCACAGTTGAATCATGTCTCTGTAGTCTGTAGCAGATCAGGCGCAAGGAGTGTTGAGCTTCAGTTCACACGACAATCTACGATCTGTCACAGCACCCCAACAACAGCTTGCACGTAAGGCAATACAATTTTTGGCAGTGTAGGCGAGCTGCCTTCCACAGGACCATCCCGGCTGTTTCGCCTGGGTTGGGCACCTGGGTTGGGGAAGGACATAAGCGTGCATGAGCCAGCAGACTGCTTCAGTCCCCGTACTTCTTGCGGTACCTGGAGTCAAGGCAGAAAAACGGGGCCTGACTTGGAGAGCTTTTGCATTGGAGAAGATGGAAAGCAAAGTGGCCCACCAGAACAGTCGAATTTAGAAGTGTACACTGGATGCCAAGAAGATTGTGGCGTTTACGAAAGAATTCTGCTGTCCCTCAGGCGAGCTTGCTCAACTTGAGGGTATCCCCCATCCCCAGGCCCATCCCTGCTTCCAAGGCCAACCAAGTCCAGCAAGTGCACTTTGCGAGCATCGCATCTCGTTCGCGACCGAGTCGGTCAAACTCCTCAACAAGCACAAGGCCGACTTTCTGGAAGGTATGGGGCGGGCAACCAATGCTGGGCATCTGCCGCATGAGCATGTTCCTGGTGGCCCTCGTACCCTCACCACTTTTACTTCTCAATGGAAGTAGAAACTGCTGCCTTGCGTGTCTGGTCAGACTATCAAACAGGACTTACCTCGGCATGCGAAGTGAGGAGGACGGGTGCAGCCGTGCAAGTTTGATCCTCAAAAGCACGCAGTGCGGCCAGGGCATTCTCTTGCTTCCACCTGACCTGAGACCAGGGAAAGCCCGGCAGGTTAGCAAATGGATGGGTGACCTTGTGCAAGCAATTCTACACAATGCCACGACATTCGTAACCTGATTTCTCTGGTCTTTAGTTGGTGCAAGACTGGCTACTGAGCTAGGCAGTCCATGTCAGCATGAGCAGGTTCGCAAGCTTGTAATGACAATCTGCTCATCCGTTGCACCTCGGGATCCTCCTCCTGTCCAGTCGCACACAGAGATGACATACATCGGTGTTGGAAAGTACAGGTGACAGCTTTGCTGACAAACAGTGACATGTGCACCCTCGCTTGTTGAAACCTACGTGAATCAAACTTGTGTTTTGCAAAACATCCTCACAAAGAGTTGACACACACACACACACTCTGTCTCTCTCTCTCTCTCTCTCTCTCTCTGGCATAAAACAAGCAAAACGAAACACATACAGGCAGGGGGAATGAAACATCGAAATCCACCTTGAGCAACCCAGCTTCAGCCTTGTCCCTTCCGAGTGAGGAAATGATAACCTGCAAAGAAAGCCTCCTGAAAGTCCTTTTGGAAAGCTCTTGTCTGACATAGTAACAGCAGCGGCGCCACCTCGTCAGCATCCTCAAGAAACAGAACACTCTACTTTAGCGCAGTCCCTAGCACAGGTTGGTTGCACAGCTGGCAAGTGCTTTGATTTGGGTCATTTTGGTTAGCGGTCCCCGCTGCTCTTCATGGTTCGGTGACGGACAGCGCACAAGGCATATTCCTTTTGCTGAAGTGAAGCCAGGGGCAGAAGTGACAGGGGTAATGCAACCTTGCACTCAGTGTCGGGAGCTCCCAAGAGCCATGTGCAGCAAAATATCAACATTTGTGCGTGACCTGGAGGTGCAGCATCGTGGGACTGATCCCTGCCTCTTCTTATGGACCACAAGCATTCACATGCATTCACATGCATCACGGCGTTCTGGGCTCGCTCCCAGGCTTAGGTGCTGGCGAGGGGATTTGCAGCGCGGTTGAGGCTGTCTTTCCCAGCTGAGAAACTTTCAGCCTCCATCTCGAGGGACTCCAATGATGCTGCTGATGCTTTTCTGTGCATAATCAGCATCACTGGATCTTCATTTTCTCTAACCTGGCTTCTTGAGGCCCTTGCTGACGGTTGCGATTCGGCATCTCCAAAATCCTCTGGACGGGTCGCCCTAGACTCCAATGCTGCTTCCTCTGCAAAACCCAGAACGAAGTGATGTTGCATTCTGGCCTGCGGGGCTTCCTACCTCAACCAGTACCTTGGAGATCTGAGATCCCTGCGTTCAAGGCTTAAGCCAAAGGAGTTGACTTACTTGGCAAGCCTGTATGCTGCTTCAAACTAGGTTTCAAGGCTCTGGGTAGGTTGTCCTGCTTGTTTCCTTGGTTCACTGATTTGAGTTTCGTTCAGGTTGGAATATCTTTCCTGGATATCTTCCATCTTCTTCGTGTGGTATAGTGAAGGACCAGGTGCGTTGAGAGTGCACTTAGTCCGAAAGGGTTGATCTACAAGTGCAAGCGTATGCGTTCAAGGCAGGACTTGTCAAGCTGGCAAGAAAGCTTGTAAACCCGAAGTGCTAGCACCCTGAAGCCAAAAGACCTTGAGTCTGAAGTCCGAACAATGGGCCCTTGATAGGCTGAAGAAAAAACTATGTGCCCTAGATCTCAGATTTGCACATCATGATGATTCTTTGCGCTGTTGGTACGCTTGCGGACACGCGTTCTTCAGGAAGCAAAATTTAAACTCTGGAAGGATGGTGATTGCCCGGGCGACTCCTTAGCCGATAAACTGCTGAGCCAGGCTGAGCCTTGCTGCCTCAACTTGTGCATGCACGACAACGAATCTCTTGAAATGGTTCTGGCTGTAAGTCAAAGGCTTTAGAGCTTGCAAGGGTGTCATGCAGATGCCAGAATCATGGGAAGCATGATTCTCGCTTTATCCTGGCATAACTAAAGAAGATGTAATCAAACCCTATTCGGATTGTTTAGGCCCCCTCTAGACCCTAAACCCCTTGCAAGCCCCAAAACCTACACAGTAGAATCATTAGAAGCCCTTGTACATACCAAGCCATATTCCCTTCCAAACTCTTGTAAACCCTGGCCGCAAACCCTGTTCCCGTGTGACCTTGCGACCCTACACTCATGCAAAATTACCAACCTGCACACCCCACTTCCTCTTCAAAACAATCTTCGATCCTCAGGTCAAAAACAGCCTTTGGCTATGTGTTCAAACAACATTGCCACACGGCCAGGGATCCTTCTCCCAGGGGGCTACAGTCGCGGCTAGCTTTCGTGACAACATCCCAAAATGCTTCCAAGGTTCAGACAGGCTGTCTAAATTCACAGCCTTCTTGACGGACTCCGGCCTAAAACGGAATCGCAAGAGGTCAAGATCAATCTTGGAAGCAGCAGCCAGCACGCATGCTAATCCGTGAGGACGGCCCAAGTTCAAAGGAAGGTCAGAATACCTTGGGTACTGCCCCAACACAGGAAGAAGAAGAAACTCAGAGGATAGAATTGGGCCGCAGCCTATGCTAGTTCTGGTTGCTTCCGTTCCAAGAGGAGGGAACAGCTCACACTTCTTTCGCCCAACCGGCAGCACAGGCAGTTCCTTCACGAGGTGCTGTGAGACGCGGGATAATGCAAACTTGCCGCTTGCTGTATGCTGCCAGCAGCTTCTGCAGGTTTGGATAAAACAGCATGCCATGCAAACTCTTCAGCCCTTGAGGCCACCAAAAACTTGTAACCACGTTGAACACACGAGTCTGCAATTGGAAGTGTCCACCCCGCCAGGGCCCCTGGAATGTTGTTGCCTCTCTCTGAAACGCAATGAGAAAATCCCCCAAGCTGGAAAGCCTAAGCTAGGAAAAACATCACCAATCACTCTCCCTCTAGGACCCAATTGAGGATATTGGTCTTGACTCTACTTCATTTTTCCACGGGTATCATAGATGTTGACCACATGGGTCATCAAAGATCTCAGCCTGAAAGCTCCCCACTCGACGCGTTGTCATACCACTCTGCATCCTCGCCTACTTGCTTATGACTTGTTGCAATTTTCCAGGTTGGATGGCCCATGAAAATCCGAGATCGTGAAAGTCCTATCATAGACAAGAATGAACCTCCAACAGCAATAAGGCCGGCCCGGTATCAGTTGCAAATTCAAGAAATTTTCTACGATCGCATACGTGATTAATTTTGCATAGCATGCCTTGCTATGCGATTTTGGAGGTGAGCATCTTTGATGACACCCCCCTCGACCCTGTAGTGGACTGCTCAGATGCAGGCACGATTTCCAAGAGAACCAAAATCAGAACTATGAGCAAAGCAGCATTCTTTTGGCTCAGTATTTCTTACGGCAAACCAGTACTTGGTGTAATCGTCAAGTTTGGTGTGTATGGAGTTCCAGTAGAATCTATGCGAGATCTCAATGGCTTTACAAAGCCTTTCCAGCACTCGTTGACTTTGTCTGGCCCATGCCTCCTTCTTTGCAAGCTATGAAGCATCATGTATACTACAAAGGTATTCTGTAGACGCATCCTTGGAAAATGGACATGCCATTTGGAAACGATGTGTGCATCATACTGTCAAGTGCGGCTCACCCTCCTCTGACTTTGCCGATTTTGATCTGGAGACCATGTACTGAAAATCTGCTGCCTTAGTGCGGTGGAAAGCCCTTTTTAGGTCACATATTCAGCTTTCCAAAGTATGAATTAGTCATTGCTCACACGTCCAAGACTGCAGTTAAGATTTCGGGCCTCAGATCTTGGACTGGTTCCCCCAGATTACTGTCTTGCTAGCTTGGCCTGGTGCAGATCAGCGACTGTTCGAGCACGAAGTGTTGATGAAGCCTCCAAACTGTACTTTCTCGTTGCCATTTCTGCTGCTAGCTCACATGCTCCTTATGGTGCATCATCGCTGGCCAAGCACTGGTTACCTGCCCCGCCATGCGTGGTTTTTTAGTTGCCAAATACAACAAACAGCTAGAGCCAACCTGCCCAACTTTGTTGGAGTTGACCATCTTCTGATACTCGAAGACCTTCTGGATCTCGTGGCGAAGTTTGACCTCAACAACTCGCACTGGCTGTGGGCAGCTTCTCACACAAGTCTTGCGGAGTAACAACACGCAAAGGGGATGCCATGTGCCCTGTGTCACACCGGATAACTCACGGAGGTGCAAACAAGCAGCTTGGCCTTGCTTTAACGCGTACAAGTCCTCAGTGTGCGCATGTTCGATCTTCTTGAATCATATGTATCAGTCACATCTTGCCACTTGATTTGACCAAATGCACACCCTTTACAAAGTGCACGCCCCAAAACTTCTCTGAGAGTCCACTGCTCTGGCTGGACCATGCAGCTGCACGCACCGGTCTACAAACTCTTCCAAACCTTTGTCGGACAGGACACTGAAAGCCCAACAGTGTGTCGTCCGTATGTCTACCAAAGCCATCATTCGCTTCTGTTTGTTTGTGGAGTTTGGTGTTCAAGCACGCCAAGTTCATAAGAGCCCGAAAACTGATGGCTCCATCACCGTCTGCATCCAAACTCGCGAACAAAGTCCATGTGTCCGCAGCATTCATCTCTAATGACTCGAAGAAAGCACGGACCTGAGGCAACAAATCAACGCGGACTGCGCGTGGACAAAGGACTTAAACTTTTACCTGCCTTCAAATGCATGCACACACATATACTCGGCATATACGTATCTGTATGTACATATGTGAATGTGCTCCCGGAAACGGAACTGAATATAGTTTCCGTGATGCAGCATAACATTGCGTAATGTCTGAAACACTTAGCTGGGCGACGGCTTCGTCATTGAAATGTTTCTCGAACTCAGAGATGGTTATCAAGCCATTGTGAGCATCATCAATCCTGCCAACGCGCAGTTTGCAGCTTCATGACTTGCATGCACGCAGCAGCCGACACAGCACAACGCTCCTTTTAAACAGGCTCTTGACAAGCGCCTTGAAACCTTTTTTGTTTTGTTGAAGCTCTTGAATGACCTGAGATGCGGACACACGGAGCTGCCCTGCGGTTCTTGTTCTCGGCATTTTGGCAAAGCCTAGAAAAGCAAGCCGAGCCTTGCATAAATCAAGTTGGGTCACCATCTCGTGATCACGTTCAGCTGCCTTTATCGCTGAGTTGCAGAAAACGCCTGTCAACCTCAGCTTCGCTAACTCTAACTAGGTTTGCTCCGGTGCCAGCAGCCCCCAAACGGACAAGGCACCACTTAAACTCGCTGTACTATCAATGAAAGCGCACAACGCAACCAGAAATGGTCGGGACCTTCGCTGGAAAAAACGAGACATCACCAGAAACCAAACAATCAAGCAAGCTCAAGCATCCCTATACCTCTTAGCCCAAATATGACCATGTCCTATCGCCCTTGGCAACCCACCCGAACCTCCTATGGAGAAGGTCGGCCGGGACAGGGGGCCGGGCCTTCAACAGCTCGCTATGCCGACAAAACCACGCCATATGCGACCACAACCCCAAGCAACCGCACCAAAAGCAACGATTGCTAGCATTATCAACCACCTTGCCAAACCAAGCAGGACTCACGACCGCACCAAGGCCAACCGCTCCGGCAAGCAGGATTCTGCATGAAATGGCGAATGCGGTCCCCAATCTCTTTTAAGGACATCCTGGACGCGAACGCCTTGCAGATCACGGAGCTCGTGCCCCTCGGACTCAACAAAACGACCCCAAGCCAACGCGCCAACCATCACGGAAAACATGCATCTGTCTGTCACTGTGAAGATTCACATTACCACGGATTTGCAAATTCAAGCCCTCACGCGTCCACCTCCAAGGGGCAGGTTCCTCCCACCCTCTTTTCCTCATCCACTTGCGCAACTCGTAAACAGGACTGCCAGGCCGGGCCTCCCAAGAGCAACCATGGTCCCTGGCCAAACAAAAAACCACACGAAAAAAAAGAGCACGAAGTAACGCAATCAAAAGGGTTCTTGGCCCCCGTCACAACAGCTCTGAGCCATTTGCTAGCCATCCAAGCAACACGCTGGCCGCGTTTGTCCACGGCCCACAACTTGTTTGAAATGTTCAAGGACGGCAGGCGACCAACCCAACCGTAGCAAGCGACGCTAAGGGCAAACATGCGAGCATAATTGGCGAAGAATGGCCATGCGCTCTTTTGCCGTCATCAAACGGTCATGCTCCTTGTCATGACTAACCCAGCGTCCGCCCCGCGAAGCAGTACCAAGAAAAACAATTTCACGTTGACACATCTCGGCCGGACTCAAACTCAGCTTCATATATATGTATTTAGCTTTGTTCCAGTGCCAGCAACCCCCAAACGGACAGGGCACCCCGATTGACTCGCTGCACACAAAAAGGGCACAGCGCAACCAACGGAAGTTGCGACCCTCACTGCAAAGGCGAGACATCACAACAACAACCTCAGGAATCCCTCTAGCCTATCTCTTGGTCCAAATATAACTATTCACTTGGCCCAAGTAGGGAAGCACGCATGACCTTTCGCCCTTGGCAACCCACCCAAACATCCTATGGAGAAAGTCGGCCGGGACAGGAGACCGGGCATTCGACAACTCACTACGCGGAGAAAACCAGGCAACCTGCGACCAGGAATCCAAATATCCGCACCACAAGCAACGATCGCTAACATTGTCAACCACCTTGCCAAACCAAGCAGGACTCACGACCGCACCAAGGCCAACACTCCGGCAAGCAGGATTCTGCATGAAACGGCGAATACGGTCCTGACCCCTCTTAAGGACATCCTGGACACGTACGCCTTGCAGATCACGAAGCTCGTGCCTCTCGGACTCAACAAAACGACCCCAAGCCCAAGCATGCGAACCATCACCGGAAACATGCATCTGTCTGTCACTGTGAAGATTCACATTACCACGGATTTGCAAATTCAAACCATCACGCATCCACCTCCAGGGGCATGCTCCGCCCGCCCGTTTTTTCCTCATCCACTTGCGCAACTCGGGCACAGGACTACCAGGTCTGGCCTCCCATGAACAACCATGATCCCTGGCCATACAAAACACAATCCAAAAAAGAGAGCTCGCAGTGACGCAATCCAAGTCATTCTTGGCCCCAGTCACAGCAGCTCAGAGCCACGTGTTTGCCATCCACGCGACACGCTGGCCGCGTTTAACCACGGCCCACAACTTGTTCGACAAGGCGGCAAGCGACCAACCCAACCGTAGCAAGCAGTTCTTAACACAAACATGCGAGCATATCTAGCAGAGATGTCCGTACCGAGTTGCAAGCTGCCCAAAATGGCCACGTGCTCTTTCGCCATCATCAATCGGTCATGCTCCTTGTCATGGGTCACCCTGCGCCTACCCCTCGAGGCAACACCAAGAAAAACAACCTCGCGATGGCACCCATCCATAGTCAGCCTGTCGAAGTCCATCACAATCATGCGCAATATGGAAACTTCGCCCTGACACTGGAGCAATCCAAACAAACGCATCGCATCTGTACCTCAAAGGAATAGGCTGCTCAGCACCAAGCGGCGGTCCACCAAGAGGCGGCCCCACCTGACGCAAAGGAACAACTCTCCTTCCATCGTGGCCATCACCATCATCTTGTGCATCTTGCGCAGGCTCAGGATCATCTTGAGAAGGATCATCAGGTTCTTGATCAGGCTGCGCTGGCTGTTCTGATGGTTCACTACCCCGCGACAGCGGAGGAGAAATACCAAGGATCTCTGCCACGCTTCGTGGGCTGTGATCTCTCAACGGATCTTCTGAAGATACATCATCTTCCTCAGGCGGTACATCATGAGGTTCACCTTCATCTGCACCTTCAGCAACATCTTCAAGATCGGGCAAAGCATCCTGCTCATTATCTAGCTCATCATCTTGCTGCACTGCACCATCTGCCCTAAACAGCGTAAGAAACCACTGAGTTAGGGTGAAGACAAGGTTGCTAAACCTTATAACCCAGAGAAAAATCAGACAGGCACCAAACATAACGGCAACGCGGGCAATCAAAAAGCTGAACGCTGTGATCTGACCATCTTCAGCCACTGGGGACGGTTGACCCTCGGCGCGCTGTTCATCTTCCGTAGCCCCACCTCCAAATAGCTGAAGAAACGCAGCCATCACTTCCTCCAAATAGCTGAAGAAACGCAGCCATCACTTCCAACGCGCTAGCGTCGCATGCACTTGATCTGCGAATGGCCTTCAAAAACTTGTTTGCTTCAATGCGCTGCCTCTGTTCTTCAAAGTCATCTCTTCCTACCAACTCAAATCCATCTTACTCTCTACGCATACCAAGGCTATAACATAGGCATTTGACGCGCTGGCTTGACAAGGACTTGGTCGCAAGGTTGGCAGGATTGGTGAGAGTAGGTACAGCACGCAAGACTGCATGATGATGCTTGTTGATGAAATCCTGGAGCCAAAGTAGTCGTCCGCTGATGTGTCTAAGCTTCCCGACTCCCCGCCTGTTCATCAACCCTCTTGTGGTATGTTTCAGATAGACGCGAGCTCTGAAGTCATTGTTAGGGCTGCTAAGGTACATTTCACCATTGCCCAAGTTCTCAACACCAAAACCGGCCAGATACAACTTTCCAACGGCAAGGTGAGGCGTACCAACTGAAGGAGCAACAAGGAATGTTTCTGGGATTGTTCCACTGCAATCATGCCTTTGATCTGCAAAAGTGACGGGCCCCACTGACGCGCAATGGATTTCCTTGTGCATCTGAACACGCGCCATAATCTGCTTCGGTCGACGTTCCAATCCACTGGAAGCTGGGCGGCAGGCATGACGCATCTGCCCCTGAATCAGGAGTGAACTCAATTTCTGCGCCAAGCTCATCATCATGCGTGAGTCGTGAGTGCACGAGCGTGTCCAACCTCACATGGAACACTAGTGTTCACAGTTGTGTCACTCAACGCCGCATTGTGGTAAACGCAACATTTCGACATCAACCATCTGACACAACTCCATGCTCTCTGCATCAAGCTTGTGTCACCACACGATGCCCCTGTCCAATGCCCACAGCATTCACTGTCTGCTGTTTCTCCTCTACGCTCAGGGCATGCACAGCTTGTGGGTTCAACATCATGCCCTGCGCATGCGCTGCTTGCTGCGCTGGAAGAAAATCCAGGACACTTGTCGACATGGGGCGCCATACACTGTCCGCAATTGGACGCGCTCTTTGAAAAGCAGATACCCGGGCTTATCCATTTAGTGGAATTGCACGATGCAATTGGACCGTAGGTCACAACGCACACACACACACACAACATTCTGCTTTCACCATCATCAGGATCAGTGACCTGAATGGCTCGAACTTGGTCACCAGAGACATCATTGAAATCATCAAGATCCAGAGCAAGTCTTCTCACCTGTGACTCTGCACCTGGCTTACACTTCGGATTGAGATTGCCACCTTCATTGGAACCTCTACTTGCTGGTGGCCCTGGTTACGCTGGTTCATTGGACTGAGAACCTTCAACTTGCTGAACTTTCTTCGGAAGCCAACAGTCACGAGCAAAGTGACCTTTCCGCTGGCAAGTACATCACCAGGACATAAGTTTCAAAGCTTCGACACACCAAGGTATATCTCATGAGCATACTGCCATGTTTCAGCACGGAGAGATTTCCAGGGCAGAAGGTCCGTTTTACGTGGCCAGCGTGGCGGAGTAATTACGATCCGGGAATAAACTTATCAGCGCCTGCGCTAGGAGTCTACGGGGCGAAAGGGTTGCCCCAGCCGCACACACTGCATTGTCAGCCTGCGCGGCGAACTTTTGTCCTACCGCAGTATGGCAGGTTTTGTCAGCTGCAAGGTTATCGTTAGGGTTCTGATTACCCTTACCTTCCTAACCCTTCCTGACTTTACGTTTACTTTTCTTGCCTTCAGACTTTCCTCTGCCACCCTTACCATCTTTGGACTTTCCACGTTTCCCTTTTCCAAGGCGATCAATTTCCATAGGAGTAGGCCAACCTTGAAAGGTACCTGCCTCACCTTCACTCAGGCCAAACGTTGCTGCAACAGAAGCTCCCCACTTACTTTAAGAGGCATCGTAACGAGCAACAACTGAACGCAACGTGTCATACGTCCATGAATTTTCCATCATGATATTCACACGCTGCCTGAGTTGGCCGCTGAGGCACCTGAGTAAGGATGCTACCTTTTGATCATCGGGCATTGGAGAACTTGCGACGGTGTCATAATCACCTATGGCCTGCTCTAACCTGAGGACGCGGCTAAACAGTCCACTTTTGTTGTCAAAGACCCAACTGTGGATCATCTGCACCAACGCCAACGCACGAGCACGGAAAGAAGGCTTGAGGTCCAAACTGATCTGACCATACGCTTCATAACCATTCCCTTCGGGAACTGTCTTCAGCACACGCTTCAAGCGATCATTGGGGAGAGATGGCAACAAACCATATACTATTCGGGACCTATCAGCTTCTTCTCCTGAATGATTGGCCGATGGCAAGGGAGCCTTAGGGCGCTCCTTAATTTAACGCGCTTGAACTCTTTTTGAAACTGTTTGTCAAGGGTGCACAGGTACTGTTCAAATTCCCAACCCCAAGCGGGCCAAGGAACTAGCTCCTCCTCCCTAGTCTTGCGAGAAAAGACGGGAGCACCTTGGATAAATCCCTTGCACCAAGGCTGGTGTTGCTAGCTACGGCAGAGCCGGCAGACACAGACTGCTGCATCACGTCAAGCATCCACAATAAATTTTCTTCAGTTGCAAACTGGCCTGCGGGCTATTCCGCGGGCTAGGCAAAGGGCTATGTGGAACTTGCGCCATTGCTGCTTGATCAAGTTGAAACCCACAATCAGAATAATCAACACTGCGAGTAAACTAAACACCAGGCATGCAACTGAACTCTCAGGAAGTGCTCTTCACCGCTGGTGGAGGATACAAATCCAACCACACAATTTCTAACGCAGCTCAGAAACTTCTTGAAAACTTTTCCGGTGAGCCTATAGGCTTCATCTCGACAAACAAGTCGTTGTGATCAAGATCTGCAGCATCTTCGTTATACGAATGTATAAGAACGCGTATCCTTACCTTCGCAAGCAATTGCTGTCTTAGTTGAAATCTGCCGTACTCTCGTATCCTCCGCGCGTGACCTTCGTTTGGTTGGTCAGTCGTGATTACCAGCTCGCAGAGGAAGGCAACCACCGACACAGGTGGGATTGCCGTCGACCACACACACGCCATGGCTCAGTTACGAGAGGATCTACGCTACAGAACAACAACCCAAAGCAAAGGACAAGATCAAAGCCTGGGCCCTTGAACACAACCCCAAACCCGGACCTGGACGTGTCGCGGAGTCTGGCTGTCCAGAGATCTAACACGCACATGTCTCACATCATGACTGCTAACACGCAAGAGCAACTCTACATTGCCCGTTGCCCCACCCAATGCTTCCCAAACATGACATGGTTTCAACAAAGTGAAAACGGAGCTTAAGGACCTTTTTCAGGGAAGCGAAAACGTGATCACTTCCTGCCGTCTCTGAAAGAGTAGCGCGTGCGCCGGAAAGGGATACATATCCAAGCTTCTCGAATTTGATCAAACGGAATGATCTTCAACACCAAAATGGCACCATTCTCTGTGATCATCGCATCGTACTGTAGCAAAAACTTGCGATGGAACACAAAGTACCAACAGAGCTTCTTCATCATCACCACACATTCTGGTCTTGGTCGTCCTATTGCGCTTGTCTCAAGACGCAAACACTCCAAAGTGGACTGATAGGCGACCGCGGCCGGCGTAGCTGAGCTCGTTCGACTGGCAAACACCATTCTTGATCAATGAGTCAGTGTTCCTCACTGAGGTGGAATGGAAGGCGCCGCCAAAGGTGTTCATGTGATCAATGGATGGCTGAGGGGCATCAATCAACATGGTACCATTTCTCTCAACTTCCTCTGACAACCTTTCAGTAACTGGCGCTGGTTGCGCTGTTGTGGAGTCTTTGGTCACTTCAGAGTGAGCTTGATTCCTGTCCTCAGTTTCCACTGTAGGCTTTGTTGCTTCTTCTTCATTTCTCAACGCTGGCATTGATGCTTCAGGTAGCGCTGGGGGATTGATCTTTCCTTTTCGTTTTGAGATATCCCAAGGTGTACTAGTCAGTCTCATGACTGGTTCTACTCTCCATCATGAAGTGGGGGGAGGGGGTGAGGGGGGGGGGTTGCCTTATCCTTACCTTATCATATAATCATAAGATAAGCTATGGATAAGCATAGGATAAGCATAGGATAAGAAGAGAGTTGGGGTTTTGTGGATAAGCATAGGATAGCCATAGGATAAGCATGGGAGCCGGGGAGCATTTAAGAAAGGTTTTGTTTGGCGCGGCGACTGGCCAGTGCACAATTCGGTCAGAAGTAACGCAGCCACAAACACGGGAATATTATGCAGACGGGGGCCTCAACCCGCCCCTCCCCGCAACCCATCCCCCCTAAAACGGCTGCACATTTTCTAGTTTGCGGACCCCTCCAAATTTATCTCGGTACATGTAGGAAGCTCCCTTATCCTGGGCTTATCCT